GCATGGGGTGGCATGCCGGATTTTAAAGGAGCGTGGTGGACACAAACCTGCCTCAAAGTGTTCAGAAATAGTGTCCGGTGGGAAAAGCAAGGCGCGCAACAGAAAAGAGGCTTTGCGAAAGTATGTTCGTACACGCAGAGAGTTCCGCAAGCACACTCAAGGTGCTGGCCTCGGGACGAAGGAGCTGGGGCGTCTGGCTCAGCAGGAAACCTTGCTTTCCACTGTGTTACTTTTTAATTTAAAAAAAGACGTCACCCTGGCTGATGTGGCTCAGTGGATTGAGTGCAGGCCTGTGAACCGAAAGGTTGACGGTTCAATTCCGTCTCAGGGCACATACCTGGGTTGCGGGCTGGTTCCCCATTTGGGGGCAAATAAGAGGCAACCAATCAATATTTCTCTCACACATCAATGTTTTTCTCTCTCTTTCTCCCTCCCTCTCTGAAAATAAATAAAGTCTTTAACCTAAAAAATAAAAATAATTTTTAAAAAAAGGTTAAAGCAAGAAGTCAGTTTCTTCCTTAGGAATCTTGAGGGACATTTTGTCTCTGGCAATGCCACCAGCCCCTAAATAAAGCCAAGCTGTCCGGAAGGACTTCATACACACCTTCCAGAACCAGAGTTATCATTTAATGTATTTAATTTTATTATTATAAAAGTGGTGTGTAGTCATAAAGGAAACCTGGAAGAGTAGAAGGAAGGAAAAAAATTGCTCATAGAATTGCCACCTAACTGAGCACTCTTCAAAATCAGAGATTTCCTGAGAAAGTTTTTTCCATAGTCGGAATCAATATCTTCTATTGGTTTCCTGATTTTTTTTTTACTTACCATTGTATTGTTACAAATTCTTTCCTGTATCCTTAACAACATTGGCAAAAGACCCGTTATTCTTGTGAATATGATTCTCCCTCAGCTGATTCTTTCCAAACTATTTCTTGTCACTGTTCACCAATTTGATTTTCCAGCATCTTCGGTGAAAAGGCAGAGCAGCCTGCTGCTGGGACTTGGGTGTTCACAGACGTCCTCTAGCACAATCAGGACCTCTTGGGAAATCGGCTCCATCCCTGTTGGCACTGTTGCTATGGGAACATGAGAGTTAGGGCTCTGCCCACCTGAACTCTTGGATGGGGCTACAGTTCAAGGCTCCCCCTGGTGGCGGGAGTCCCCAGGCTCAGAACCTGACCCAGTTAGGTTATTTTTAGTTGCAGATAAAGAGCATCTTAGACAATCCCTTCCTCTTTCAAACCTGGGTTGATAAGCTATCAAGGATGCTGGTTGCAGGCTGGAGCCCCCCCAGGCTCTGCCCTCTAAGTACTGGACTTATCAGAAGGGTCACCGGGAGACTGGCCTGGTCCGAGCACCACCTTGGCACCGGGCACCTTCCATAACTCCACAGAGATGCAACTGAGATCTGGCTGCTGGGTATTTGCGGCAGAGCCGGGATGCAGACCCGGGCCCCTCACCTGTGTCTGATTCCCGGGTCTGACTTACTGCTCCGAAGCAGAGTTATTGGAGCTGTGGGGGGACGGGGGTGGGAGGGCAGGGGCTGTGAACAGAGACCTTGCCTGCCTGCTCGTCAGGATGCTCAGGGGTGGTTTCACAGAATTAGAACCAAATTTGCATCTTCAGAGGTCCAGGAGAGGGTCTGGCCAGGCCAACTCGAAGATGCCAGGAGCAGACGTGGCACTGAGACTCCTTGTGAGGAGAAGGCAGGCAGGGGGAGCTGCCACAGAAGCTCATTTCTTCAACACTGAGGTTTTGCCTCTTCTTCCCAGAGCTTCTAGAGACATCCATGTGCCTGTGACCTGGTACCTGCCAGACTACCCTGCCGCTGCTCACTGACCTGACTTCCTAGAAATTTTCCAAGTCCCCTCCAGTGCCTGGCACTGGCCACGGCTGGCAGTGCTGCTGGGCCAAGTGCTCCAGTCTGCACCCAGACCTGCATAAGCCAAGGCCATGTTTTCTCTTCAGCTCCCTTCCAGCCCTGTCCCTTACCAGTGGGGTTGACCGGCTGTCCCGCAGAGCTCTGCCACTCAAGCCAACTGGGTCTCTCTGGAGTCCCATGGCTGGGTGTGGTTTAAGAGCAGAGCCTGGGAGTAGGTCACCCTAAGCAGGGTGGTGTTTCTTTGGCACAATGACACAAGCTTGGGTGACTAGAATGGTGCTGAGATGCTGATTTGGGGTGACTCTTATATCAGATACCAGACAAGTTCAGGGCTCCGGACCGCTAAGGGCTCATGGCCACCCCTTGGCCTTGAACTGTATGCAGGCCCCAGGTCACCTCTCACTTAATGGTGTTCCCCCCCACGGCACCGCCTCCATCCAGTAGCACTGAGGATGGCAGGGGCGGTGGCAGGCGTTCTCTGCCCTCTATACACCTGCCAACAGCACTGGGTGGTCACTCCAGCCCCTCTGGAGGTTGCTGTCCAGGTGTCGGGCAGCAGCCTCTCCTCCAAAGGCTTTTGGGACTGTCCCTCTACAATTGCTAGGGGCTCCTCCAGTCAGCTGACACCGAACTCTCCAGGTAAATCTTACTTGTGCCTGGTGAAGACGGACATCCCTCAAGAACGGGATGGCTCCCTGTGTGCAAGGCTGGGCGTGGTCAGCAGTGGCAGAGACCCCCGTCTAGCAATGCAGTGACCATGGCCCCAAAGTGCAAGAGAGGCTGGTGAGAAGATGTGCTGTTCTATGTTTAACCTGCAAAATTCAGAACAGAAGTTTTCATGTGACCAGAAAAGGAATAATTGTTAACATTTTCCCACGTGCTCTAGGCAAGACATGCATCTGTGTTTATCCACAGCCACGGAGGGAATTGCTGGAAGCTGGTATTCACGGTCATCAGCAGCAATGAGCACCCAGTGACAGAGAAACGTGCTGGGGACTGCAGAGCAGGAAGATGGATGTCGTCTGGGAAGGAACAGGGCCACACTGCCACCCCCGCCTCTCGGGGCCAGAGGCAGGGTCAGCCAGGGACAGGGCATTTGCTAGCAGAAAGCTGGACCTAAGCAGGAAGAGAGGACCTGGCATCCGGAGGACGTTGCGTGCCCTGATTAGACGTCGAACGTGCACGTGCTGACCTCTTCTCTGTCTGCTGTTCTAAGTCTTCTTTGATGCCCGTTAATTTCCTTGTTGCTATAGATAGGGGACCACCCACCGTCAGAGCAGCCCTGCCTGGGCGTTGGGGTTTCCTGCACGTGGGGACCATCGGGCAGGGGGACAACAAAGCTTACCGTTCAGATGGCTCAGGCAGTTGGGTTGGGACAAAATGGTGATGGGACGGGCCTTACAAATCAGGGAAACGTGTGTCATGCATGTGTCAAGCATGAGTCATGTGTGTGTCACAGGGAAATTACACCGGAGTCAAGTGGCAAGGGCAGGCTCACTGGCCACCCCAGACTGCTGAGATGTGGGGCTCAGTGGGAACAGAGGTGTGAGAGAGGGACAGGGGGGAGCTGGAAGGCGGGGTGGGGGCGGTGGTTACAGGCAAAGCCTGGGGGAGGGGCTCTGAGATACATTGGCCCGGGCACTAAGGGGCCGCAGTTTTGGATGGAGCCTTCTGATGGACCCTGGGCTGACCTGGGGCCTGGAGCCGAGAGCAGGGCAGAAGTTGGTGCAGGTCAGCAGGGAGGGAAGGTCATGATGGCCGCATCAGGGTCGGGGAGGGCTGAGGTGACAGAGGAGAGGCCTCATCAGGGGCTCTGGGGAGTTGGCAGCCCCAGGGCCCAGCAGGCTGCGGGAAGGCCAGAGCTTGAAGGTCACCTTTTCCCCCCACCTTGTCCCCATGCCCACTCTGGGCCTGCCCAGAGGGCCCCTGCTATGGAGAGTTTAGTCCCTGGGTTCAGTGGGAGGAGCGAGGGAGGGGCCTGAGGGGAGGGGTGGGCACGCTGGCTCTGGGCGCAGAATCAGGGCGAGGTCAGGCCACCTGGGCAAGAGCACCTGGCTCCCTCTCAATCACCTGCGGCAGGGGCAGCTGCGGGTTGGAGGTGCTGGGGCCTCCCTGGCACGCAGGCGCTCCTTCCGGGGCTGCTTTCCTCAAGGCGGAGGCCTGGCCCAGAGGCCGGAGGGGATTCTGTCGACGTGTCCTAGGGAGCAAGGTCTGGGTGTGGGATTGGGGGGCTGGCCCCCTTGTGCAAAAGGTCAGCACTTGCCTCTTGGTGCAGGTAGGTCTGACCCAAGGACTGAGGGCACCCGGTCTGGGGCCCAGTTTGGGAGGATGCCCAGTTTGGAGCCCTCGAATCCACTGGTCCTGGGTGGTGGCCCCGCCGAGGCAGCTTCTCTTCCAGCCCTGGGCAAGGGCAGCCATGCCTGGCCACCCTGAGTCTGCTGAGGTGAACTCAGGAAGGAGCTTGCCCCCGGGGGACGTGTGGGTGCGCTGGGTGTTTTGGAAAGATCCACAGGTGAAAACCCAGCCTGTATTTGTGTTGCCATGAAGGTCAAGTCGCCCCAGGTCCTGAGGATGGGAGTAAAGGTGTCACAGAGCTGACACCTGGGCCCTTGGGGCTGACCTGACACCCCAGGTCCCCCAGTGCCCAGGGCTGTATGGTGTCTGAATGACCGTGAGTCTCCAGTACCGGGAGGAGGGCTGGACTGTGTCCCTCCCCCTCGCTTTTGCTTAGCCCCAGGGCAGGCTTAGCCCCAGGGCAGACTCCGTTCCTGAGGTGTGGGGCGGGGGAGAGGGACGAGAACCGAAAAGCCCTGGGGAAGGGAAAGAGGCTGTGGATCTGTCCAGGGTGTGGCCACCCCACGTGGCCATGCACACGCCTGTCAGAAGCCTGCTATGAGCCTCCTGACCCCAAAGGAGCTGCCAGTTCTCCCAGGACTTGAGCTGGCAGTTGACCCTTCAGGGATGGGGGCCCATCAGAAGACAGAGAAAGGGCGGGCGGGTGGGAGGCGGGGGCAGCGGGCCTCGGCGGGTGGGGTGGGAAGGTGGAGGACCGGGCTCCTGCTTGGGCTCTGCAATGAGGAAGTTCGCTGCAGCTCTCGTTTCCTTTCCCTCGCGAAGCCTCTGAAACAGGAAGTCGTCGGTCAGCGAGCTGGTGGCAGCAGCCCGGGCAGCAGAGAGGGGACAGGCGGCGGGTGGCAGCGTCTCAGGGGCCTCAGCTCCCCCTCAGTGGCCTGTCGATCCTGGCGGTGGCCACCGGCCTGGCCCACGCCCGCCATGGTCCCCTGCTGGAACCACGGCAACATCACCCGCTCCAAAGCTGAGGAGCTGCTCTCCAGGACTGGCAAGGACGGGAGCTTCCTCGTGCGCGCCAGCGAGTCCATCTCCCGGGCCTACGCGCTCTGTGTGCTGTGAGTACAGTGTTTGCCCGGCCGGCGCCCTCCGTCCCAGCCTGGCCTCCACTGCCCGGGCCCAGAGGTGCAGAGGTGCCGCTCAGAGTGGGGACACCAGCTCGAGGCTGAGCCAGGGGCCCAGCACTGAGATGGGGGGGGGTCTCTATGTCCAGGCATGGAGTGACCGAACTTACACACCGTCCTGGTGTAGCAGGGGCCCAGTGGAGGCCGTGGTGGACCAGCTGGCCAGGGAGTTCAGGTTCGGCAGCACTGGAACCCCCAGAGCCATTCTGAGGCCGGGTCACATACTGCAGCTGCCCATGAACTGTGGTGCAGGGAGTGCTCAGGGTCCTAAGGGCCAGGAGAAGGGGTACGGGCTCTTCGGGACAGGCGGAAGCTCGGGGCCCCACAGTGGTGGGTGTGTCGGAGAGCAGCCCCGTCAGCTCCGCCGTTAGTCAGGGACACCCAGGAGCCCTCACGGAGAGCAGATGTGGCACGGGGACCCTCCCATACCCAGGCTCTAGGCCCCAGGGGAAGTCGTTACTGGGGGAGCCATGACTGTGGGGTGGTTTCACTCAAGAACGGACTTTCAGTTCACCCAGAAGTAGCGTTTGGGGCCCTGAGCACAGAGGAAGTCCCCATCCGGGGCAGCGAGAGCCTCTTTTCTCCTGTCCCCACACTCCGCTGTGCCCCCACCCATGTGGGCCCCTCTGCGTTGGCAAACTGCCCCTGGCCCCACTCCCTGGCTCTGGACATTGCCGAGTGTGCTAGCTGTCCTCACGGCTGAGGAACCAGCCTCTTGCCGAAGGTTCCTCTTTAAAACACCCTTCTAGACCCATGTCTCATGGAGGCCCTCGCCCCCGCAGGCCTGTGGTCCAGCCCTCCAGCTGGAGCCTTGGGAGGCTCCGGGGGCTCAGTGGGTGAAGGGTGTGTCCACCACATGCACCTCCCAGTAATGGCCGTGAGCTTGCAGAAGGCCCTCCTGAGCTGCCAGGAGCAACAGTGGGTCGTTGAGCACGGGCATGTTTTGAGCACTAGGTCTAAGGCCTGGTGTGTCATCCTGTTGTACCCTTGCAGCGATCTGGAGTGTGGGGCCTGTTCTCGCCCCACTTTGCAGATAAGAAAACTGAGGCTCAGGCAGGTTAAACAAGTGACCACAGTCAAAGCCAAGGTCATCTGCGCCCAGAGGTTGCCCCAGATCCTTAGACTCCTGGCCCTGTGAAGTGGGTGTGAGGATAGGCTCCAGGTGACAGCGAGAGAGGCCAGAGTGCTCTCAGGGCTGGCTGGGAGTATTTAAAACTCAGCAGGCTCACAGCTGGCCCCGCGTCTGTGCTCTGACTCAAAGCGGCTGCAACTCCCCAGGCTGGCTTTCTGCACCCCTACTCTCGCATTCCAGGGAAGGGACACAGGCCCGGCTTCCCCGTGGACACTGACTCCATGGGGACCCTCCACCGGGCCTTGGAACCGGTAAGGAGCCTCCCCAGGACCCATGTGGATTCCCCCTGCCCTGGCAGGACCCAGGCCCGGGGCCGATTCCTTGGGTGTTGGTGGATGTGGGCGTCCTGCAGAAAAAGGGCCCTGGACCCCTGTCTGCCAGGTGGCCCTCTGAGCAGGCACTGGGCTGGTGCTCAGCCCACAGGTGGGGAACGGGTTTTCTCTGATGCCAAACAGGGTGTCGTGGCCTTCCAGGGACACTGAGTTACTCAGACCCGCTGCAGATGTTTGGGGGCCTCTTAGGGAGGGGGCCCATGGTGCCCATGCCCCCAGATGTCCACCACCCCTTAGCCCAGGCCTGGACTTCTCATCAGCCTCCCATCTCCAAGGCCCCAAACGCCAGGCTGAAGCCCTCGCCCCGGGCCCGGGGCTCCCCTTTCACCTCCGTCTGTGGGGGATGCCACCCTGCCTTTTGGGGTGGGAGCCAGCAGAAGCTGAGGGATGCCCCGGACCATCAAACCCACCGAAACCCAGGAGACCTGATTTGGCTGCTACCCCTCATTTTGCCAATTAAAGAGATTTAAAAACTAACTAAATGAATGACAACTAATTGGCACCTCCCAACAGCTGATTTCATGAAACAAAGCATCTTTTAACATCAAAAAGACCAAAAAAAAAACCACACTTAAAAAAAAAAGCCAGTCCTTTCCATCAAATCAATTTAACAAGCCACCATCCCCATTAGCAGAGCAACAGAGAACCGGCCTGGCGTTGGGAACCCTGGGGGCAGAGGGGCAGAAGCAGCTGGGCTTCTCTCAGCTTCACCCCTCTGCTGCCCCTGGGAGTCACGAGGGTGCAGGGACCCGCCGTGGGGCAGGCGTGAAGTCAGGGCCTCCGGATAAGCCTGCTCAGAAGGGAGCCAGGGCTGCAGGAAGGAGCCCCAAAGCCTCAGCTCCCGCCTTAGAAGCAGCCACAGGGAGGAGGCCTGACCGCCCGGGGCGCCCACGCCTCGTCCTGCCTGGGCCTCGGGGCCAGAGCTTCTGCCCTGTCCCCTCTGGCGTGGGGACAGCCAGGGTCCACATACTGGTTTAGGCAGCGTGTGGGAAGCTCCAGGAACTGAATATAGCTTCCTCCTCAGTGACCTTCGTGCTCAGAGAAGAGGACAGGATTTGACTATTGAAATGGACTGGGCTGGGGCAGGGGGTGGGGGGAGTAGGGGACACACCAAAGGACAAGGCTGCAACTCAGTGCCGCCCGCTCAGCTGGACAGTCATAGTTACCCCAGCCTGCCCAACACGCCCCGCCTCTGGAGAGGCTGGCCTGCCACTGGCCACCAGCCACCTGCCACTGGGCAGGAAAGCCCACCTCTCTCCTTCGCAACTCAGAAAGCCCTGCTTTTGGGCGGGGGGCGGGCATCTGGAGGCCTGTCTCAGGGTCCAGGGAGCTGGAGGGGGAAGGCCCCAGGAAGCTGGCCACCTGGTTTGGGTCCAGCTCCGAGTCTGTGGTAGGGGAGTCGAGGAAACAAGGGAGGGTGGGCTCCCCCGGGGGAGGTCTATGTCGCCTGCACCGGGGCCCCCTCAGAGCCACCCGCAGAGCCGGCCCTGCTTAGGGAGTCTGCAGGGCACTCGGCGACGGGTCAGCGAGGTGGCGCCCTCCTCCGCTGCCAGGGCTGCACTTCCACACAGGGTGCAGCGCCCATCCCTTGTTTTGTGCTGCCGCAAAGAGATGAGCCTTTGGGGGTGGGGCTTCGTGGACACAAGGGGCATGAGCTGGTGGGGACAGCCCCCCCACCCCTGCCCAGACTGCACAGGTAGAATCAGAACAATGGCCCGGCCCTGCTGGGGTTGCAGCCTGCCCTCTCTGCGACAGCATTTGCTTGGGCAGGTGGTGTTCCCACAAACCACACTAGAGAGAACTGGCTCCCCTGCTGGGGAGGGGCACGCGTGGGGCATGCCTTTGGCTCGGAAGCCACCATGGGCCAGCAGCTGTGACAGGGACCCAGTCTCGGTTCCCCTCAGCACGCAGCCTGCCCAGGGACACATGGTCTCCTTCCGGGGACAGTGTGCCAGGCCACCTGGACTCGGTGGCTTTATTGTTAGGGCCAGAAAGATGAAGAGTCACAAGGAGGACATTTAGTCCCCGAGTCTGTGCAGAGAAGGTGTTCTACTTGTCCTGGGAAGGAGGAGTAAGACGGTCGCCTTCAGGTGGGTGGGGTCTCACCCTGGCTCTGCTAACAAAACGTGGTTGCTAACCTGTCCTGCCTAAAAATAACCGCAAAGGACTTAAAAGTATGTGCTGCGTGCCAGGCTCTGTCCTAAGCTCTTTTCGTGTCTCACCTCGCAGTGGCTTTTGGGCAAAGTGCTATTATTATTCCCACTATACAGATGAGGAAACTGAGGCCCAGGGAGGCTAGGGGATGGGCCACATTTACAGGACTAAGAAATGGCAGGATCAGGACTCGAACCCATGCTGTTCTTGGGAGGGAGGCAGAGGGAGGAGTCGATGGGTGTGACAGAATCCTCGTTCCTTGGTTCCCTTTCAAAGTTGCAGTCACGTTGACACCGTCGGTGACAGACTTTGGTGCAAATGCAGAGGAAAATGCTGTTTTTCATAGCTGGTGTGGACAGAAAGGGGGGAAACGCTGGCACAGAGCCAGCTGGAGGGTCACGGGCTCTGAAGTTTGCACCAGAGTCTGCCCGGGGCGACTCCCCTGAGTTTCCTCTGTGTGAGCAAGTCCAGCAGAAAGCGGAGGCCGCAAGGCCTGGGATGGCTGGTATCTTCGATGCGAAGTGACTCGGAACAACCGTGGGAGAGCCGAGGTTTTCTGTGCGCGTGTCCAGCAGCTCAGAGCAAGCCTTCCGTCCATCCAGAGCGAGCTCTGGCTGCGGGGCTGTCCACAAGCTTGCCTACCTGACAGGTTAAACTCACCTGTGCTCAGAGATCAGTGCTTCTCCACTAAAGTGGGGGGGGGGGGGCGGGACGACGAGACCTGCCCCTCCCAGCTGGGCCCCCTCCCTGCTGCAGTGGCGGAGGCCGGCTCCCCCTAACCTTGGCCCTGAGGCCCAGACCACGGGAGGAAGCCCCTGTGGGGGCGTTGATCTGATGTGAGTTCTAGTCTTAGCTGGACCCCCGCCCCCGGGGCCCTCCCAGCTTCCCGAGGGGTGGGAATGCCCACTCGCTGCCTCATCTCTTTTTTACTGGGGTAGGACTCACATCCCATAAAGTCACCCTTTCACTGTACAGTGTGCAATTCTGTGCTGTTTAGTCCCGTTCATAATGTTGTGAGCCGTCACCACTGTCTACTTCCAGGACATTTTCACATTACCGTCCCCCAAAGACACCTGTGCCCACTTGCGGTTGTTCCCTACTCCCCCTCCTCCCGGCCCCGGCAATGCTAGTCCGCTCTCTGTCTTTGACCCACCTGCCTCTTCTGGGTGTTCCACAGAAATGCAGTCCTACAATGTGTGACCTCTGGGTCTGGCTTTTCTCACTTAGCGTGAGCTCCTCCAAGGTTCGCCCCTGGTGCGGCACGAATCCTTCCTCTTTATGGCTAAGTCATACCCCATTGTTTGGGTAGACCCCAT